TATATATATATATATATATATATATATATATATAATGTTTTCATACATATAATGGCGTAATTGTTTAATAAAAAATTATTCGACTTGAAAAAAGAATTGATATCTAATTACTAATATTTTTATATTTTATATCACAAATATTTTATATCACAAATTGTAATGTCTAATGTTTTGTAGTTGCAATACATATTATTCATGCATATTTTGTCGGTAATATATATTATTAATTAGGATCATGCTACTTGTACCTTTTGGTGTACTACTTAGTTTACCTTCAAGGGTACATGTACTCATTTACCCTTAATGAATAATTTAGTAAATTATTCATTAAGGGTAAATGGGTACATGTACCCCTTGGAGGTAAACTAAGTGGTACACCAAGGGGTACAAGTAAATTATTCATTAAGGGTAAATGGGTGCATGTACCCCTTGGAGATAAACCAAGTGGTACACCAAGGGGTACAAATAGCATTATTCTATTAATTTAGACTGTAATAGTAATACCTATTATTCACATGTAATATTATATATATACATTATATAGACAGGTACATATATGTATGTGTGTTAAACTTAAGTGTTTTTAAACACGATTTACTTACAAATAATTTTAAAAAATGTAAGCGACCTGACGTGTTTTTTTTTTTTAAAATAATATATGATATTGTAAATAATTTTACATATGTTATATAATTGTTTTTGTGTTTCAAATATTTTAAACATACATTATTCATATGATAATCGATATTAGTATTTTTGAATGACAAATTATTAGTAAATATTATTCAAATAATCAAATATAATCGATATTAAAATGACAAATTAATAGTATTTTTGAACTGCCATGTAAATTATCATATGATAATTAAATTCTTTCGATCTTTGGTTTCCATTAAAGTTTCAGCAGCACCAGTTTCTACTTATATTTTGTATGCATAATGATAAAGAAGAGTACGTTTTTAGTCATGATCAAATTATATGATGTTGTTTCGTATGTAATTGAAAGGGTTGAAAATATTGGTTCGTGGGACGGTTTGCTTGTGTAGTAGTTGATCGAAAGAGAATACTCATTAATATTTTGATACTAATTTTTGAAATTAATTTTTGAAAATTTTCCTAGTTGTAATTGTTCACTTATTTACTAGAAAAATAGCGGGTAAGGAAATTGTGTTTTAACATGATGATAATGATTATTAGTAAGTTCAATTAGGTAATTAACATAAGAATGACATATGACAAATCCATTTAGGAAAACCCAAATTCAACTTGTGTTTGTCGGCTCTCCTCCGAGTCCATTGTCTTTCTGATACTGGTAAATTTCTTCACTCGGTTCCAGAAGAAAACGTAGGAACCCGAACCTTACCCGCAACCAATGTTTGGGGGTCCGGGAAAGATGGGCAGGGGCGGCGGCGGAGGAGGCGCCGTGAAAAGGAGCAATCACGCGCCGCCAATCGGCCGCGCCGTCCGTCCGTCCATGGGCAGCGGCCCTCGGAGCCGCGCCGGGGCACCGCCGGCGGCAATATCGTCCCCGTCTGCCTCGTCGATGGAGGTTGAGGAGAGTTTCAGCCTTGTCAGGGAGAATCCTTTGAATTTTGGGATGGCGATAAAGCTGGCGCCTAACCTGGTGGAGGAGATCAAGCGCGTGGAGGCACAGGGCGGTGGGGCGCGCATCAAGTTCGACGTGAACGCCAATAATCCTAACGGAAATGTGAGCCTATTGAATTCCGATTGCCTGACTGCTTGATTGAATCTTTGAATTCCTGTTGTGGTTTACTGTCTTGATGAAGTGGAATTGGTGTTAAACTGAGGTTTTTGAGTTTCCGTCGGAAGTTTGTGCTCTTTTCTATTATCTTGCTCCATCTAACATGGGACTTTTGCCTTCTGCTGCTCACTGCCAGCCTTGAAACCTGAACTAGGCTTTAGCCGAATAAAATTTGGATTTAGTTTATATGGTGAGCTGTTCTGTTTTGTAGGAGACGTGATATGGATTCATAATGCTCGTGTCTCATTCTTGCAACATGTAGATTGATTTATTACGGATAGGAATTGATTTTTTACGGATTGACATAGAAATTGGCTTCGCGTATATTTAGAATGATCTACATGGTGGATAGAGCTGGGAGACAGAGCAGTTAGGTGAGAGTAGGTAGTAGAATAAAGTTCAGTTGATCTCCTGATGAAAGAAAAAGGTGCTCGAACTGATTGTGGTCCTAATAATTGATGAAACCAATATGCAGTGCAATCCTCTAATTTTTGTAACGATGTTTCATTGGCCATTTTTGTAACGAACGCAATTTGAAAGGGATTGACTGCAAAGATTTAGGCATAACCTTTGATAAATCATAAATCTAACTGGACTTGTGGTAAAACACTATCCGACATGCTGGATAATCGTCCTAGAAAGGATTATATATTCAACTGTTAACACTTCCTTCATCATTGTATATTTTTGGATTCTATGGAAGTGATGAATATTGTTTGAATGTTCTAGTTAAGGTGTTTATGTTCTTTTTTGCTTTAACCCCAAGCTTTCAACTAGTGCTGGCACCTTCTGCTCTTGGACATGCTTTCCTTTTGTATTATGATGACTGTTCTGTCAAGAAATTCTATTAATCATAAATTTTTATTACTGTTTACCTGGAGAGGTAGTCAAGTACATGGCTGATATGTCTCGACTTTAGCAAATCTCATTGTTGTCCATAGTACATTTTCATGTAATTTTCATCCAATGCTTATTTGGTCATCGTCGCTGTCTTTCCTTGCCCTTTCTCAAAACCAGAGAAGTGATGTTGTTTCTTTCAAAGGGTTTCTTTCCCGTATGGTGCTTTTGTCCTTGGGGCTGCATCTTAGTCATATACAAGTTTTCTACATGATAGGTGGTAGAGTCTTGAAACTGTGCGCTTTGCTTTTACTTCTTTCAGTTTGATGTCACTTTAGAAACTTGTTATCTAGCTTATATATTGACATATATTATTATTTCCCTTTTTCATCAGGTTATTCATGTTGGAGACAAAATCTTCAGATTCACATGGTCGAGTGAACCAGGAGACTTGTGTGACATCTATGAAGAACGTCAAAGTGGTGAAGATGGAAATGGATTGCTTGTAGAATCAGGAGGCACTTGGCGTAAGCTGAATGTAGAGCGAGAACTAGATGAATCAACTAAAAATGAAGTTAAAAGGCGGTCAGAAGAAGCTGAGCGCAAGCATAAATCACGAAAGTATGCTTTTTGTCTGAAGATTCGTGCTTTCTAATTTATTGCTGCTGTCTTATATCTTTTGTTCTTTGCAAATAGACCAAGAGACTTGGATTTTTTTTGTTGAAACTTGAATTTGTGTGAGATTAAAACTTACAACGAGATCTCTGTAGGATGCTGATTAAGATGATTAGATGAACATATTGGGGATTATTATCCTTAAATTCATGATTTTATTTCAAAATGATATTTGGAGGTCTAAAAACTGATATTTGCTTGGGTTTCTTTCTCTCTTATGTTTTTGACTCCTTATGTCCCCTTTTTCTGTCCTTTTTTGCCTATTCTTTATGTTTTATGTATTCATTGTTGTGTGTTTGTGATGAATACGAGACGAGGGTGACTTTTGCAGTTTGTAATATAGCTGACGTGTTTTTTATTAGTGTTGATCTAAGTTTTCTGCTGAACTGTGCTCAACTGTGAAAGTTTACCCTTGGAACATTGATTTCACCGTTCACCTCCTTCACAAATTTGGCCTTATATGTATATGTATGTATACATATATTATATTTGGGTTTAGGAGTTTGACATGCTTGAAAAGTTCTGTCAGGATATTGTTACCCCTATTTGATTAATCTGATGGTTTAAGATCCGGAAAGTAAAACTAGTAAAAATCTACTTAGTAAGCTGGTATCCAGTTTTATCAAATATTTATGCAATTTCATTGTAATCACCTATCGGTAGGAAATGGTTAGCTGCACCTCTTTCGTATGTGTTCGAGTTATATATCCTGCATTGGGGTTTGATTGATGAAGTCCGTAATTCATTCTGGTGATTGTATTTACCGGGCACTGTTTGAGGGCTCCGATGGAATTAGCGCCTTTGATTTTTTCTAATTGAACTAATTCCCTACCTTCACCTGATACAGAGCTATTGTTTTAGACCATCAAAACCCATCTATGAAGAATCAAGTAAAGGCACTTGCTGCTGCTGAGTGTAAGTTCTTTCACATTTATTTGATAATTCTTTCTGTAAGTAGCTATCCATCGTGCAGTTTAATTTGAATCATGAAATATGTTTGAATTCGTTATCTGTTTCTATATAAACCAAAAATTAATAGGATAAATGTTATGCATAAAATTGTTGCATGAAAAAGAAATGCCAATATCACTCCTGCCTCTCTACAAAATGGGAAATTATTTATAGAACTCTGGAACTTGTTTGGTGTTCTTTTGTGGTTTTGCTATTATCCGATCGTATGCACATAAAGTTGTAAAAAATAAGCTCCGCACCTGAAATAAACAAAAAAAGAAAGGAAGGCACAAAGAAAAAGGAAATCTTAGGATTCGACCTCTGTGTGTGTGTGTGTATGCCCCATAATAGTAGATCTCTTAAAAATTATGATCAATTGCCTGAATTAGGGATCCATATCTAAAATGATGTCGCTCCTCCATTTGCACTTAATCTAAATTATAATAATAACAGGGATTGCTGACCAACCCCTAATATGAGAGTACTAATCTGAAGTTACAGAAAACTACGGGACTCAGTCTTTTTATTTAGTCAATCATTTTGATTTTATGAGTGAATCGTGATGAAAAGTTGTCTGAAAATGAAAGAGTAAATACAGAGTGTGATTAAATGTGGTTGGGGAAAAAATAGTGATTATGATAGTTGTGATTGAGAATCTGTTAGAGCTGGTGATTGTTTGTGGGTTTTTCTTTTGGAATAATAGTTTAACACATTGGCTTGATTAATGAATAGAAATTGAAAATCAAGCCAAATATAGACACAATATGAGTCTCATTTATAACTTATCGGGACTGGACAAATTTATAACATATGATAATTTTAAGGTAATTACGGGATTTCTTTATATGCCTAGAATGTGGAAGAGGAGTTTATTATAATATGGTATTTGGATGGTGTGAGAGAAAGAGACCAGTGAGTTTATCGATAAATATTTACCGACCTTCATTATTATTCTTGTTTTCTGACTAGCATTTTTACTTGGGGCAAATTTTATAGAACAAATTTTTAGAAGAATCAAAGTCTGTTATTCAGTACTTATCCTAACATCTATGCACGGACACAAATGGATTCATAAACTTGGAGATTGAAGAACGTTTTGCTCCTTACTAATGCCACCATGACTTTACATGGAAGATATGTATGATTGATCGTTAACAATTTTACTAATTGAATTGCATGCCATTCTATTACAGCTAACCCATGGAGAAATTTCAAGAACCGGAAAGAACCTCCTTTTAAGAAGGCAAAATTGGATCCACCTATAGGTAATTGGGTGAACTAATTTGATGATCCATCTCCAGTTTCTTAGTTGGTCCTTTTTTTCTGTTTGTATTTAAGTACCAGTGAGTAAAATTTCAAATGTATTTATTGTAAACCAATTGATAACAGATGTAATTATATCTTTTATGTTTTTTTTTCCTAATTGTTATTCGTTTGAGTTACAGGTGGGCCTTCTAAATCTGCCTATAAAGCTAGCGTGCCTCCAGCAACTCTTTCAAAGGGTAAAATCTCATCTGGCTCACCTCTGTCTTCCCAACCAGAACAACACGGTGGGCCAGCGTCCCCAGCTGTAAGTGGGAATCTTGTGAAGGGACGTGTTGACATAAACGATGTTGCACCAACAAAAAATACGAATATCATTTCCAGCTCAGAGAAAGAAATGCCCAGCAAGTTACCACATAATATTATCCGAGACAAATCTAAACACAGTAGGAACATGGAGGCCAAACCTGCTGATTTGAAAAGTTTGGTGATATCACTACTTCAGGAGAACCAGTCTAAGGGTATGAGCCTTAAGGTAATCCGCCGAGTTTGAGATATTTTGCATATTTATTGTGTTACTTGCTATTTTTACTTTTTTTTTTTTTATGTTTTCCTTTTTAACCTCAAATTTCTTTGAAAGAGCCAAAGAGGTGAGAGGATATGGAATGAGTGAAACACAACGTATGTGAGGAGAATGCATTTTGATTCACTAGTTTTGTAATTAGATCTTCCTCTCGTTGTTTCCTTTTAGGCCTTGGAGAAAGCCATTGGAGAAGTTATGCCCAACTCAGCCCGCCAAATCGACCCTATCTTGAAACAAGTATGTGGTGAATATTGTTAGTGAATATTGTCGGCAAGAGCGATTGTTTCTCATATTTACCTAACTGTTACTGTCAGGTCGCAGTTTTTCAATCTCCTGGGAGATATTTATTGAAGCAAGGACTGGAGAAGGAAAGCATGAAGAAACCACCTTCTCAAAGTGGAAGGTTTGCTTTCTCATTAAGTGTTGTCTCTGACCATTTATGCCTATGCGTTGTTTCTTTACTTGTGTGTTTTTCCATTAATTATCTATTTCTTTTGTTGTCCCTTCGCTTGCCTTAAAAGCTTTATATAAGTGCTGTTTAGTTAGCTTAGGTGTTTATTGCATATGAAAAAAATGGTTTAACAAAAGGCCCTTTCCACTGGCTTATGTTCGCAACACAAGACAATTCAGTGTGAAATTAAATTTGGAGAAATATATTCTAGATGTGATGTATTGCAGCCGTATTTTATCAGTGAATAAGCAATTCAGTTTAACCTAGTGCTATTAAATTATTTGATATTTCATATTGTGTTATGTTGAGGTCTCTTGACCATCATATCAAGTTCGACATATGTTATTCAACTGAATAATATAGTCCATCATTGAAGGAGGGCTAGTCTGAAGCTGAAAATTTGAGAGGTCGGGGACAGGATGAACCAAGTTCTGTAAGGGCATCTGTTGTGTCAATATTCAGTAACGATAGTTATTTGATCAAGGAGTCTAAAGGAGTTTATGTTGGTTTTTATCTTTCTTTATTTCACATAAATAATCTCACAATATTGTGTCATCAACATAAATTGCAAGAATAAGAGAAATATCGTAATTATCTTTCTATGAGGTTTTTGCATTAGGCGTGTAAATACCTTTTGGTTATGGAGTACGAGATGTTTGGCTAACCTCATGTTTCACGAGTTTCTATATGTCATAAAATGTTTACAGAACTTGGAAGATGTTAGATTTTATTTTGCATATTTTAGATGTTTGTACTTTGTACCAAGTCTTCAAATAGAAGAGTGAATATTGAAGGAAGCTGTTACAAGCTCTTAAGAGTATTGTTTTAGAAGCCTTTTTCTGGTTTTCCCCTCTAGAAAGAGCTAAAATGATTGCCAAATATAGCCTCTAAAAGTCTAAAACATCAATCTACACATTTTGAAGATCTTATAATTTCTCACATTCAAAATCCACCTGTATCAGTAACCCAGCCTCCAACCACCACCAACCACCATCACCCGAGAAGCCCAACCAGCTCCCCCCACGAACATCCGACAACCACGAGCAAGAACATGGAGAACTCAACTCTATTACCTCTCCACGCACCACGGACCACCCTACAGACAGAACAAACGCTCATCAAAGCCCACCCGAACAACAGCATAGTGACAGCAAGGCTCCCGCCGGCAACAGCTCGACCGATGACAGCGGCAGCTCGAGCGACAGCGACAGCAGCGGCAGCTCGAGCCCAAGCCACAGCCGCAGCGACACCGATAGCGACGATGCATCTGTCAGCAGCAAGCAGGCATCCGACGAGGAAGTCGACATCATGAGCGATGAGGAGCCGCCAAGACCCGAGCTGCCGGCCGGGCCCCACCTGGAGGACAACAGGGATGCTCGTGCTCCCCCACTAGATGACGATGATTGTGCATCTCACAAGTGGTTTAGGAGCGGTAACTTGAGCCAGCCGGTTTCGGGGACTATAAACTCTATCTTTGGGGATAGTCCCGAGAACTCGTCCCCGGACAGGCCCGATCAGAGTCCTGAGAAGAGACCTGTCGATGTTATGGTCGACATCATCAACATGGATGACGATGACTATGACAATGATGATGATCCGAGTAGGGGATCTCTCGAGGCTCGTGCGTTGAGTGAAAAAAGACCTGGTGAGTTCTTACCTGTGCAGAAGGGATTGAACACGGAGGAGGATGGTTTAGTTGGTGAGAGAAGGCCGGTGAGATTTTCGTCAGAGGGCATTGCTGGCAACAAAAGCAGCATGTTGCCGGTGGAAGATCATAGGAAACTTGACACGTCGGGTTGGGGAAAGGAAAACGTCACTAGTACGGAAGATAGATTACCAATGGCAAACGGGCGTGGTAGCGTGCTCCGAAGGGAGTACTCGGATTTGGAGTTGGGCGAATTTCGGGAGCCAATGGAGGATGCTACTACCCCTTTGCCGAAGAAGCAGATTGAGAGGAGGAATTCTTTCAAACAGATGGAGAACAAGCCGATGGAGTCCGAATGCAGGAACTCTGATCAAGGTAGATTGAAGGCGCCAAACCGTAAGATCAATGTGGATTCGGTGGTTAAATCTCCCCAGCGGAATTTAGAGCCAGTGGTTTCTGGGAGTGCGGATGGACCGTCTAATAAGAGAAAGGCTTTGGAGAAAAATGCTGATGATCACATAAGACTGCATAAGAAAAGCAGTAGACCTGTGGAACAACAGCAAATGGAACCTGGGCCCCAGCACGTTAGAATATTGGAAACGGGTAATAAAAGTAGATTTGCTGATGCTGGGCCAGGGCGTGCCCGCAGCTTGGAAGGTCATCTTGATGTTTCTAGAAGAATGTCTGTTGATTCAACGGAGCAGCAGCAGCATGATCCTGTTCGAGGAGTTGGTCCCGCTACCACAAAAGTAAGCAAGAAACAGAAGTCCACTAATGTGGTGGGCAACCTGAATGGTAGACGAGTAGATAATTCTTTAGCTGGCACCAATGACACCGGTCAAAAGAAGAAAGAATTTTCTCCAGACGAAGACAATTTGTATGCCAAATACGAGAAGGAAGAGCCTGAGCTGAAGGGTCCAATAAAGGATGCCTCTCAGTAAGTGTGAACATTGTTTTTTGTAAATTAATGAAGGGTGTCTCGTAAATCCATCATATCAGTTTCTCAGCGTTCTTATGTTTTGATCATACTTTTTTCAGGTACAATGATTACGTGAAGGAATATCAAGAGAAATACGAGAGTTATCGTCACTTGAACAAAATTTTGGAGGATTACAGGTATTTTGTGCCATATTAGGTCTCTTTATGGGTTTGTTGGTCCAATTCAGTTGCCAGTAACGTGTTTCTTATATGTACAGGGATGAGTTCACTAAATATGGGAAGGATCTCGAGACTTGTAAAGATAGGGATATGAAGAGATATCATGACACCTTGAAGCAGATGAGATCGTCATTTCATCAATGTGGAGAGGTACTTAATATTTGTCCCGTCTGGTTCCTTTTCGTGAAATTATGAAGGTTAATGACGAAAAGTACTAGTGAAGTTAGTCTAGTTGCAAGGGCAAAGGGAATAAAAAAAAAAGAAAGAAAAGAAAAAGTAAGTCGTTTATCTCTGAAATGACGGGGGGGTATTTAGCTAGAATATGCAAACCTCAAATTGGTGTTTGTAAAGAATTAATGGATACATATGAAACATTTTCCTTCTCGAAAAAGAAAATAATGATGGACCTCAATGGGAAGGGTATTTATTTAACTAGATGATGATGATCAGCATCATAATAATATAACAATAATAATAATAATTCTGAAGGTCTCACTCCTTGCTTCACGCACCAAATTCTGAACACTTGCATCGGTTGAACTTATAGCAACTATGATGATGACTTGATTCTGGACTTTAAATCAATTAATTTCCGTCAATTGACTCAATTTGATTACTTATTGACTAACACCTGGCCTTTTTGCAGAAACATAAACGGCAGAAGAAAATATTTACCGTGCTCCATGAAGAATTGAAGGTGGCTCACTTGATCTTCTATTACCTTTACCCCTCTGTTTTGTAACTCATTCCAATATTTTTTTATTAACATGATCCCATATTTGTTTCCCCATGCAGCAATTGAAACAGATGATCAAGGATTTTGCAGCCTCGTATTAACGAGACCGATTGTTTTATGATACTTGCCCATTCGAGTTCCAATATTTATCGTTGTTGATTGTTTCGTTGGTGAAACCTCGTGGGCCCCACCAAAGCCGATTAATTGCAGGTTTTCTGATGGTAGTCCGATTAATCTATGGCGGTGCAGAATGAATGGAGGTCTGTTTCAGTTTTGTATGATTTGTAAATATTGAACTGTACAATATTTATGCATGTCCGTACCATATGAGGTTCTTCTAGTTTGTTAATCATAAGTTGGCACTCTGTTTACAGTGCGATCAAATTTTGACGGTTTTTTTTTTCCTTCTTATTATAGTTTGGTTTTGTGTTGGCAGAAAATTTCTAACAGGAACCAAAGAGGTTCCATTTTTATTTTTTTATTGTTGGTTATAATTATAATATTATGGTCGTAGGTTAAACTCTACAGAGATTGAACACTACTTTGTTTGGTAGTTAGCGGTTAGTTGTTAGCGGATTGCATTAGCTATTTTAACCAGCAGATTGCGTTAGTTATTTTGGCCAGCAGATTGCGTTAGCTGTTTTGACCAGCTGATTGTGTTAGCGGTTTGTGAAAAAGTGTTTGGTAAAAATTAGTTGTTTTAATTAATCGTTGAGATGTAAAATTACTTATAAAAACATTATCATACTTTATCATTCTTATTTATGTTTTAACTAATAATTAATCAAGAAAGAGAAATAATTAATATGTTAAATATTTATTAAAGTGATTTAAAATGTAATAAAAATGTGAATAATAATTAAATAAAAATATTTCTTAATCGAGTAAATAAGTTCACGTTGTATAATTAAAGCCATGCAATTATTTAATAAAATATGCATCTATTATAATTAAGTATGAATTAGTTCAATCACAAACAATACTAAATGTTTATAATTTGTTGGTACATAGATTAGAAATAGCGAGATTTTTTATATATGCCTTGGTACATAGATTAGAAATTGCTAATTGACTTACAAAATATATTTGACATTGTTAGCTTGATATATATTTTCAAGTAAATGTTTATAAAGTAATACAAAGAAATTGTTTTTCCTGTAATTATATTTATATTAACAATTTAATTATATATTTTTAAGTACAT